TATTAACAATTTCTTTTAATTTGATAATTGATAATTATTATTGTTATTATTAATAATTCAAATTATTATTCGTTATATTAAAAGAAACTACTAAAAACTACTAATTAATTTGAAACTGCTATACATAAATAACACATGTTAGCCAAATTGCCCTTTTGGTCTCTAAACTATAGTTGTGTGAACAGTTTAGTTCTTAATATTTAGTTTGTCTTATTTTGGTCCCTAATCTTTCAATTCCATTTATCAATCCTACTTCTAAAAATATTAGGAGTATAGAGGTATAAAACTATGTTGTTTTAATAAATACCAACATGAAAAATAACTAAAATAACTAATTTGAGAGAAAGAATTTAAGAAGACTATTGTAGCTTTTTTCTATAGTACATTATTTATTGAAATAATATAATTTTTTTAGTAACACTGATAACTAACTACATATACATTTTACAAATGCTAGTACCATCACCTTTTTTTCTTTTTTTGATCATCCAGTTTTTTTATTATATTGTAGTAGAAAGGGTATTCCTACAAATATACATTATATTCTACCATCACTTGAAACTAAAAGTTTACTGTTCTAGTACCATCACCTATTAATCATCAATAGCGATGACAGACGCTAATCGCAGAATGTGTTCACAAAACCAATGTCTCTGGTTTTGAAGCTCGAATTAAAGCTGGCTCTGAAATAGAACATCTTAACATTGATCATATGATCAAAGGTAAACTTGTCATTTTGATCTCCTTGGGAAGCATCAACATAGGCCCTGGAGCCGGAGGTTACAATAAAGACCCTTTTTCTGGAAGTTTCAGTAAGGCAAATGGGGATTTGCATCATACGGATGCAGCTACTTTTTGTAAGGTGAGAGTTTGATTTGAGGTGTTTAGTATATATATCTTTTTGTTAACAATTTCTTTTAATTCAATAGTTGATAATTATTATTGTTATTATTAATAATTCAAACTATTATTTGTTACGTTAAAATAAACCGCTATAAACTACTAATTAATTTGAAACTGCTATACCAAAATAACACATGTTAGCTAAATTGCCCTTTCAATCTCTAAACTATAGTTGTGTGAACAGTTTAGTTCTTAATAATTAGTTTGTCTCATTTTTCAATTATTCCATATATCAATCCTACTTCTAAAAAAAATAGGATTCTAGAAATTTAAAACTATATTGTTTTAATAAATACCAACATTAAAAATAACTAAAATAACTTATTTGAGAAAAAAATGTAAGGCTACTGTAGCATTTTTCTATAGTATGTTATTTATAGAAAAAATGTAATATTTTAGTAACATTGATAACTAATATTCTCAACATATACATGTTCCAAAAGCTAGTACAATCACCTTTTTTTTTTTCCTTTTTTTTTTTATCTTCCAATTTTTTTATTATATTGGAATATAGGGATATTCCTATCCATATACATTATATTCTACTGTCACTTGAAACTAAAAGTTTACTGTTCTAGTACACAAGTCAGGATGGTTCAAGCTAAAAGTTTACTGTTCTACTACCATCACCTATTAATCATCATAGCCATGACAGATGCGGATCGCAGAAGGCATGCTAACGGTTCACACAACTAATGTCTGTGTGGAAGAAGCTCGAATTAATGCTGGCTCTGAAACTAAACATCTTGAGATTGATCATATGATCAAAGGTACAAATGTCAATATGATCTCTTTGGGAAGCATCAACATAGGCCCTGGAGCCGGCGGTTGCAATAAAGGCTCTTTTTCTGCAAGTATCAATAATGATGGCACTAAAACAAAATGTCTCAACATTGATCATACGATCAAAGGTAAAAATATCATTTTGATCTCCTTTTTTTTTTGCACAACAAACAAATAAAGTTTTATAACAAACAGAGTACAAGGGGCACTCTAAACCCATAAACATCCAACATATAAGGCATAATAATACAAAACCTAGCAACCTAATATGAAATATCAGTGTAGAACATGCAGCATTATAAATTTGAGTTCTGCACTACTACTCCCCGTTCTAGATTTTGGGAAATTGGCCCCCACACTGTGAGCTCTTCACTTCCTCTTCAACCCACCTTGGATTGACTTCAAGCACAACAACGGGCTTTGTATCCAATCCGCACTAGAAAACAACGATCCAGCCACCCTTCCACTGATCCAAAAGAATGTTTGGATCTGTACAAGGTCAAACAAACTTTCGACAGTGCTTTCCGCTTTTTTGAAAATTTGTTTGTTTCTTGCTAACCATATGGTCCATGTGAGGCCAAACCAAATGGTTTCCCAGCCCTGCCTAACCCATTTGTTTTTTGAATAGAAGACATGCTGTACAAAAGCCTTCCTGCACTCATTATAACTCACGCAGCTCAATCCCCACCATTTTTGACATTTCCACCACAATTTTACTACAAAGGGGCATTCCAAGAACAAGTGGTTGGTATCTTCCAGTGCCACCTCACAGAAGCCACACAAGGCTACTGTATCATCCTTCAAAATGCCCCTTGTCCGCAAGTTTGTTTTAGTTGGTATTCTATTCAATAGTATCATCCAAGTAAAATCGCATACCTTGTTTGGAATGTATTTGTTCCACACTTTTCTGAATAATTTTGTATCATCCCCTCCTTGTTGGTCTCTTAACAGCAAGTATTCCAACTTGGCTATGTAAATTCCCTCCTTGGTATGCCTCCAACACCATGCATCCTGTTGCCCCCTGTCTAACGTGACATTAAGCATCAAGATAGAGAGCTCTTGCAACTTTTCTTCTTCCCACCCGCACATACTTCGTCTCCACGTCAATTTCCATCGCCACATGTTGTTATGCCACTCCCCCATCTACTGGATTTTGTTCTCCTTTCCTGTAGACAAGAGAAAAAGTCTAAGGAAACGGGTAACTAAGTTCACCTCTCCTAGCCATACATCTTTGCAAAATCCAATACCCCTTCCACCCCCTAAATTAATGTTGAAGCCCTCTCCTAACCAATTCTCTCTATTTGGTAAAATAGAATTTATTTTGCATAAGTCCCTCCACTAGTATGAGCCCCCCTTAATCTCACCCCTCACCCATTCCAGCCACCTTCCTTTTTCAACCCTATATTTTGTATTCAACACTCTCTTCCATAAGCCCCTTTCCTTTCCTGCCATCCTACCCCACCACTTTCCTAATAGAGCTACATTGAAAGTTCTAAGGTCCCTAATTCCTAATTCCCAATCCACCCTCTTCCTTAGGTTTTCACATGCTATCCCACTTAACCCAACTAATTCCTCCCCCTCCCTCCTTTCCCCAAAGAAAATACCTCCATATTTTTTCAAGTTCATTAATCACTCCTTTTAGAACAAAAAAGAAAGACATAAAGAACACCAGTAGGCTTTTGGAACCAAAAAGAAAGACATAAAGAACGCCGGTAGGCTAGATAGCACAGAGTTAACAAGAGTGATTCTTCCACCAAGGAACAATAGTTTACCTTTTCAAGATGCCAATCTGTTCTTAAAACCCTGAATCAATGGCCTCTAAAATGCGAGTCTTTAGTGATTATTCCCAATCAAGATTCCAAGGTATTTAAATGGTAGAGAACCTCTTCTACAATTAAGACTCCAAGCTGTTTTCTCCACCCATTCCTCTTCCACATTCAATCCATATAGTAGGCTTTTGTCAAAATTTATTTTCAACCCAGAAACAAGTGCAAACACTCTCATTATGCACTTTACTACCCATACATTACTATCCTTTGCCCTCCCAAACATGATCATATCATTGGCAAATTGGAGGTGAGTGATTTCGACTCCTCCATTTCCAATCTTCAATCCTTTCAGCAACCCCTTTTCCTTAGTTGATGAAATGAGGCCATTGAGGCCTTTGGCAATTAGCAAGAATAAAAAATGGGGATAGGGGATCTCCTTGCCTCAGTCCTCTTGAGGGTGAAAATTGCTTTGTCGTGCCTCCGTTCACTAATACTGATATACTCACTGAATGCATGCACTCTTTCATCCACTGACACCACACATGGTTAAAACCCATTCTTTTCAACATGTGGTCCAAAAAAACCCAACTGACTCTATCATATGCTTTCTCAAAGTCCACTTTAAAGCAAAAGCCTTTTATCTTTTTACTTCTTGCCTCATCCAACACTTCATTTGCCACCATCACGTAATCAACTAGTTGTTTGCCTCCCACAAACGCTAACTGCTGTTCACCAATTAAATCATCCATCACTGTCTTTAACCTGTTTGCTAGAACTTTAGAAAGCATCTTTTACATCGAGTTTATTAACGAAATGGTCTATATTCTTCAATCTTCTGTGGGTTGTTGACTTTAGGAATCAAAGCCAAAAATGAGGCGTTAGCTCCCTCCACAATTCCCCCTGCGTTGTGGAATTCTGAGAAATACCCCATTACATCCTCTTTCAAAGCCTCCCACATTCTCTTCCAGAAACCAAAGTTAAGGCCGTCTAGACTTGGTGTTTTAGAACTTTCACAATCCCAAACAGTAGCTCATATTTCATCTTTTGTAAATGGAGCTGTGAGAGCCTCACATTGAGCTTGTGAAATTCTTCTAAAGTTCATTCCATTTAAGGTGGGTCGAACCTAATCTTCCTCAGAGAACAGCTCTTCATAAAACTCCACAATTGCATTTTTTATTCCATTTACATCTTCGAAACGTCTCCCTATGATTTGTATACTATTAATTTCATTTCTCCTTCTTCTCCCTTTAACGCATTTGTGGAAGAATTTAGTGTTGGCATCGCCCTCCTTTACCCATTGTTTCCTTGCTTTTTGTCTCCATATCATCTCTTGTAGCCTTAGATTCTTCTATAATTCCTCCTAGCAAGCTTTTCTCATTTTGTCTTCATCCGTAGATAGTGAATGGGATTCCGCCCTTATATCTAGTTTTGCCACCTTCTTTTTTGCTTTCTCTATCTTAGATTCTAAGTCCCCCATCTGTTCTTTACTCCATCCTTTTAAGAATCCTTTGAGCTTCTTTAGTTTCTCCTTTAAGCAGAATCCTTTCCATCCTTTCATTTCAAAGGACTTCCATTGCTCAATTAATAGTTCTATAAAGCCGGGAGTCTGCCACCATGCGTCAAAAAACTTAAAAGGTTTTGGGCCCCAATCCCTTTCAAGAGTCTTTAAGATAACCGGATGGTGATCAGAAACAGATCTTGTCAATCCCCATTGCTTCAATTCTTCCCATTCTTGTAACCACTTTTCTGAAAGGAGAAATCGATCCAACCGACTCATAGATGTTCTACTTGAGTGATAACATGTATATCGTCTACCATACATCGGTATATCCACCAAACCAGTTTCCTCGATGAAAGCCTCGAAGTTCCTTATTTCACTATTTGAACTCCTTCCACCCGTTCTTTCTTGTGCTAATTTTACAACATTGAAGTCCCCAACTACGAACCATTTGTCCCCTGATAAAGCCTTATGTTTAGGGGTCTTTTTCCTCTTCGCTTTATCCATTTCTTCTAATCTTGCAATCCTCCGCACCATATCTTCCTCATCTCCCTCTATCTCAACCCCTAATTCCTTCGCCAATAGCTACATTTCTTTTGTGCACCTGAAGTCTTCCTTATGTCCTCCTTTTCTATTATAGTTTTTGATCCCGATGTCTTCAATGGAGTCATCTGCAACCTCCTTTTCTGGGTTTGGCTCAAAACAGACCTGCTGTTCCTTGTGTTTCTTCCTCATTTGCTTGGTTCCTTTCCCTTTCAATGTGGTTGAGTAGTCTCCGATTGGGGTAGATCTATCATATACTTCAACACATGATTTCGCTCTCCTTTTCCTTCTATTTCTACTTTGTTTCTCCTTTCTTCCCCTTTGTTCCTCAGTTTGCCCATCGTTACTCCATGGCTTTGCTGGGCTCTAACTACTCTTGTGTTTCCGTTGGAGTTTTTTCTAAATTTGTGTCCTCCATTGGGCCCTCCTTATTTTCCTTCATAAGCCCATTAGTCAAAGAAGAATAGTCCAACGGATTATCTTTACATTGTCCCAAATCTGTTTCTGCTACCATTTCTCTGATTTCCTTGGACCAGCCCATCTTCCTATTTATCTCTACGTCTTTCTCCTTTTTGTTAAAACCCATTTATGCCATAACACCTATCCTAAAACTACCATTTGAACCTCCATAGATCTCCCCTGCCATGCTTTCTTTTTTACCTGCACCGACTTCCTTGGAAAACATCACACATTTATGGCTTTGTTTTACTTGTGTTGCCTGTAGACTATCACTAACCATCTCCATTGACCCTTCCCTTCATCTATTTCTTGTAGTAATCTAGATCTGCCACCTCCTTCAGTAATGCTTGCTTCCTTTTCCTTGACGTCACCTCTTTTTTCAAAATTTTCAAAATTTTGAAAAGCGAACGGTTTTTCCTTCACCTAGTTCCTGCAGGTCGTCTCATCAACATCTTCGCCAATGTCTTCCTGGATTTGAAAGCATTCATCCCTCTGTAACTTTCCTAGTTCACTATCCCAGGACCATGCATCTTCGTCTTCATTTGGATTCACCTATGGATAAGAATGTTGAAAAT